TATATATATATATGACAAAACTGCAAAAAATAGTCCATGTAGTTTCTCATTTAATGTGGTTAACGTCCAAACCTTTGAAAAGTTGTAGATTTGGTCCTTTTCAATAAGTTTTATTGTGTTTTTGCTTCCTCAGTTTAGCTGATAAACTTTTTTAAATTATTATTTAACCCTCAGAGACCTTCTCTGCAACCAAACTACAAGGACCATTTATACATATCTTTTTTTTATTTTTATTGAATTATTATATATTAATAAATGTTATTTTTAATATATACTATTTATATATTAATAAATATTGTTTTATTATATTATTAATTTCTTTTAAATAAATTTTTTTAATTTCTTTGTTATAGGATATTTTAATTGGATTATTATATATGAATAAATATTATTTTTAATCTATAATATTTATATATTAATAAATATTATTATATTGGATTATTAACTTATTTTAGTCAATTTTGTTTATTGTAATAATTTTTATTGGATTATTATATATTAATATATATTATTTTTAATTTATAATATTTATATCCTAATAAATATTACATAATCAGATTATTAATTTCTTTTAGTTAGTTTTTTAACACTTTTTTTTGGATTAATTCTTTTTATTGGGATATTACATTTAATTTATTATTTTTTTATATAATAAATATCATTTTGTTGGATTATTAGCTTATTTGTTTATTTTTAATGTATACTACTAATTTTTTTTAATTTTATTAGTTCCACCACAAACTCGTCAGAATACGCAAAAGCGTTGCCTCTCATCATCTAAAATCGTTGGGATCACTACAAAACATCTTCGTCGGAGGTCGGACAGAAACTCACCAACCTTTTCCAAAAATTGATAACGGTAGTCACCTACGATAACACCACTACCATCACCCGATCAGCATCAACACTTTTAATGTTTATAAGAGTTTGTTGCGCATTGTGTGAGATATGGAGGATTCCAGCGGATTGTGAAGAGGTTGTCCTAGGTGGCTACCGAGGATGTTGGGTGGAAAAAGTTAGTAGGGTTTACGTTGGACCTCCGATAAAGGTTTTGGCAGTGATCTCGACGGTTTTCATTGATGATCAGGCGACGCTTTTACATATTTCGACAACTTTCTGGTGGAACTAATAAAATTAAAAAGAATTAATATTATACAATAAAAATAAACTAATAATATAATAAATAATATTTATTATCTAAAAAATAATAAATTAAAAGTAATATTCCAATAAAAATAACATTTATTAATATACAATAATTCAATAAAAATAAAAAGAAGATATATGTAGAAATGGTCCTTATAGTTTGGTTGCAGAAATGGTCCCTAAGGGTAAAATAGTCATTTTAAAAAAGTTAACAGCCAAGCTGTTAAAGTTAACGGAAGAGGGACCAAAACCACAACAAAACTTGTTGAAAATGACCAAATCTACAACTTTTCAAAGGTTTGAACCTTAACCACATAAAATGAGAAACCACATTGACCATTTTTACAGTTTTTTCTATATATTTACACCTCTAAAGAAGTATAATATTTATTTATACTTCAAAAAACTAAAATTATAATTCTGAAGAATGTAAACATATGTATGTATGCTTCTAAATATACATTTTTATGTATTTATACATCTTATAAGTATAAATACAAATTTTTATTTTTATTTGTAGAAGTATAAATATGTATTTTTATATTTCTAAAAGTATAGATACATTAACAAGGTGTTTTTAGATTTTTAAAATGTATTATAAATATATATTATACTTCTTTAGAATTATAAATATGTATTTTTACGTTATTAGAAGTGTGGAAGTATAAATATGCATTTTCACATGTTTAGAAGTATAACTACATTTATTCACATAAACATGTTTTTTTATTGATATGCTTCTAGATATGTAAAAATACATACCTATACATCTAAAAATATATTAATATTTCTAGAAAATGTCATACGTTTGATTGATATACTTCTAGCTATGTAAATATAAGGATCTTTTTGCAAATTTGATTTCATGGTAACTTAGAAATTTGCTATTACAAGTAATAAGAGAAAAATGGAATTTGTTTTTGTTGGGTATTAATGTACAAGAAATCATCATTGGGACAAAGCTGCATTTTTTTGATATACTTAACGACTTTCATGTAAAAAGCTCAATATTAATCATACATACCTCAAAACATCATTTTTAAACTTGGTCATTTCCCATAACATCTTGATGAAGTAAGGATTTATCATGTTCCCTTTTTGTGAAAACAGAGTTGATAAACCGTTTCGATTGCCCCATTCATAGCCATTGCCTTCAGCTAAGCTCACCGAGAACGAATTATCAGAATTCTCCATATGAACTCCAAGTTTCGTAAAGAACTCCATCATGTTTGGATATGTGACCTGTATATCGATGAATCATTGGTATATATTATTAGTAAGGTTTTTCACCATTTTAGTTATAATTTTAGATATAACTGAATTATCTAATCCGACAATTTGTACTAAAGTATATGGATGAAATATTTGGATATTTTGATTAGTTTCAACCAAATTAGAGTTTATATTTTGGATTTTGGATTAGTGTAAACCGAATGAACTAAAAAAACTAATAACAGTTATAATTTTATTTCATATTTAAAATATATATCTTTAATTGTTTTTTATTTATTAGAGTTGTTTCTTAGTTATAATGGAACATTTGGCTTAAGTAAAAAGGCTATATATACTATGAGAGTTGTAGTTTTCCAACAATTGTGGATTTATACTAGACAAATTAAGCACGTTAATATTAAAGTTATATATTTATTATAACATAGTTTTGATTCTTGAAAAATGAATTGCAAAACCTGACTCAATCCAAATTTAATTTGTTTGGTTCGAATAAGATTTTAGTTTAGTTTGGATTATTCAAATCAATATTTTGAAAAGCAAAATTACTTTTGTTTCACTATATGAGATAGGGTTGAACCGTTCAATTCAAACAAATACTCTCAACAATATAGTTTCAGATTAACACCTCTTTGAAGATCAATTATGTAAAAGTTAAAAGATGATAACCATTTGGAGGAGAATGATCATTTGAAAAGTAGTAAAAGTAAAAACACCCGTCTAGATATAAAGCATCTTCAATGGTTAAGTTGTGTTATGACTTAAAAATTTTGCCAAACTTATTATTCCATTAACTTTAATCTCAAATTAAATGATATCTTTAATGGTTAATCTCTTTCAATATATTATTTTCTTAGAACATGTAAACTAATATCTCACCATCTATCTAAAATGTTCTATAAAACATTTTCATTTAATTAGTTACTTTTAAAAATATATTATATCTAAAATGTCACAAACCAACAAAATATAAATACAATCTTGGTTTTTTATTTTAAATACATAAAATACAAAAAATAAACGTCGTAGTTATAAAGTTAAAAAAAATGAAAATATCATATGAATATATGATTTATATAAAAGTTATATTTCATAAATGAATCGTAATTAAATATTTAATTTAAATAATTAGTTCGCAAAGAAATAGCATATATTTAAACTAAAATATATTTATGGGTTTAAAATAAAATATGATTAAAATAATCGGGTTAGATATACTAAACATAAAATATATTGACCATTTAATATATTTATATGACCAATAAAACTAAGAAACTAAACTATGTGTTTCAGTGGTAAGTAAAAAAAACAAATAGTAAAAAAAAATTACTTTGTAGATGCTATTAATATCCGATATTCATACCCCACCCTTTTCATACTTTGTAATGTTTACCAAGTTATATTTAAACAAAATGGATTTCCTCGTCCCACTATAAAGAAGCTAAAGTTGACCTGTATTTTCAAATAAGCAATTGTTTGTTGTGTCTTAACACATAAAATTGCTTGCCTGTATATGGATCGGTTTGGGAATACAACAATCAATTCAAAAATTGATCCGTGAGTCTACGAATCAACAATATGTGTCCAAGATGAATCAATAGAAAACAAGAACAAGTTTCTTATTTTGTGTAGGTTATGTAACCCCAAAGATCAGCCAGACGCACCGTTTTGAAAACTGTACAGGACCGGCCCGGTTAAAAAACGGTTTTTATTAAAAAAAACTAATTCAAAAAGTCAAGCTCAGCACATTCTTAAATAAAACAAGACTTGGCTTGGCTCACCTTGCAAAGTAGCAAGCTCTACGGCTTTAGTTATAACTTACACGCCTCTCTTTTTATAAAGAATTTATAAAAGCAATCATTATAACTTTCTTAATAATAGTTGCAGCAGTTTCTTATTTTCTTTTATTTATTCGACGTAAACCACTTTCGATTTTCACTGATATATTATATAAATTGCAAACCATCTAAAGATAATATAATTTCTCTACGTAAATCCTAAATATATAACTTATGTTCATGAAAAATATTATATTTAAATCATTATATATATATATATATATATATATATATATATATATATATATATAAAATCCGGTTCTTCGGGTTTTTCGGACCGATTGAATCAGTTGAACCATCGACCCGATAAAAAAACCGGTTCGATGTTCGGTCCGATTTTCAAAATATTAGCCATAAATATGGTGTTTAGAGG